ATTGATTGATTGATTGATTGATTGATTGAACATAAACTGCAACACCACCTCCAAGCCTATCAGTACGGTCTCTACGATACAATGAATAATTTTCAGCTGAAAGAAACGAATTTGGTATAGCAGGAGTCAGCCATGATTCTGATATAGCCATAACATGTGCTTGTGTCTGAGCAAGTATTACTTTGAATTCATCCAGTTTAGGTACAAGACTTCTCATATTTAAATGACAGATTTTAAAGCCTCTAGTTTTACCTAGGTGATTTAGCATCCCTGGATTTTTTTTAGACAGGAAAATCGCTTTTGGTACATCCTGAGAAGGAAAGAAAGCACTGGTGAACTCATCAATGCAAAAAGACCTGGGTGCACATGGAAGACAACAGTGGTGGATGATGGCAGAATAATCTCCATGGTGAAGAGAAACCCCTTCACAACAGCCAACCAAATGAACAACACTCTCCAGGAGGTAGAAGTATCAATATCCAAATCTACCATAAAGAGAAGACTGCATAGAAGTAAGTACTGTACAGAGGGTTACTGCACGGTGCTAGACATTCATAAGCCTCAAGCATAAAAAGGCTAGACTGGACTTATGGTGAAGTGAAGTATGGTGAAGGCGTGGTACAGCTCATGATCCAAAGCACCACATCATCTGTAAAACAGCAGAGCAGTGTGATGCCACAGGACGGAGGCAGCCGAGGTTTTCAGAGCCATACTGTGTGCTCAGATCCAGACAAATGCAGCCAAACTGATTGGTCGTTGTTTTGTACTACAGATGGACAATGACCCAAAACATAAAGCCAAAGCAACCCAGGAATTTATTAAAGCAAAAAAGTGGAATATTCTTGAATGGCCAAGTTAGTCACCTGATCTCAATTCAATTGAGCTTTTCACTTGTTAAAGACTAAACTTCAGACAGAAAGGCCCACAAACAAACAGAACTGAAAACCGCCGCAGTGAAGTCCTGGCAGAGCATTAAAAAGGAGGAAACACAGCGTTTGGTGACGTCCATGAGTTAAAGACTTCAGGCAGTCATTGCCAACAAAGAATTTTCAACCAAGTACTAGAAATGAACATTTTATTTACAATTATTTATCTGTCCAATTACTTTTGAGCCTCTGAAATGAAGGGATTGTGTTAAGATGCTTTAGTTCCTCACATTTTTATGCAATCATTTTTGTTCAACCCACTGGATGAAAGTCTGAACTTTACGGAGCCCGTGAGGGGACATGGGACATTTTTTCTTTTGCATTCCCACGCAATAGKATTGCGTTACGTCGCAATACCTTTTGTGTTCCTTCGCAAAAGTAGTTATCACTGTTGTGCCTGCCGGTTTATTAGCAAACTAACATGTTTACCATTAGCGAGTTAGCCTACTGCTTTAATTCAGCTTCAGACTGAATATATCACACAGCCACGCATGGAAGTATGTCATATGCCGATATTTTAACACAGTACAGCCACGCAACATCAATGTCAATTTCACGAACTTGTTGTGACACACCCTGTTTTGGTAACTGGATATTTCAAAATAAAAGTCAGATTTAATTCAGTTCATATACAAAACTATCTTTTGCGTGGGAACGCAAAACATTATTGCATGGGAACGCAAAAGTATTGCGAGGGAGCGCAAAAGGAAAAAAAATCCCCCCGTGTCCCCTCGCAGGCTCCGTAGAACTTCAACTGCATCTGAATTATTGTTTAAAATTCATTGTGGTAATGTCTAGAACCAAAATTAGAAAAAAGCTGTCTCTGTCCAAATGCATATGGATCTAACTGTAACTCGTTATCTCAAGAAAACCATCAGTAAATTAACTCGTTATCTCAAGAAAACCATCAGAAATTAATATCTCGATAAAACGATCCTCATTATTTATCAAAATATTATTTATTTAGAAATCCATGGGGAAAAAATTATGTGCGGAAAACAGCCACTCTCAGCTTCAGTAAGAAAGAATATATAAATATTAATATAATATAATTTAAAACATTATAATATAATATTATAAACATTAAATGTTTTTTAGAAAAAAAAAGTTGATTAAAAAAATATGGTAATTGATAATACATGTATGAAATGCAATAAACACTTTGAGCCACGACTCCGTACAACAGCCAATGAAGGGGGAAAAAAAGAGTAGGGGCTGAATACTACATTTCCCATGATTCTTAGAAGTCAGAGTTTGCGCAATATGTTTTCCACGGCCCTGGCTGCTGGTAGGATCTGTCTGGTGTTTGTTGTTGTCACATTTATGGGTAAAAGAGACATAAAATAACAAAGTTTAACCCCGAACTTGTCGCATGAGGTAAGAAAAACACCCTGGCTTGCCGTTTGCTCTGTCTTTGACTCTGTTTGTTTTTTCGAGGCATCGTTTTGACGGAAAACTTCACAGTTTCATAGTTGCTGAGCGGCTAGAGACAAGCTAGCAGCAGAGCACAGAGATAAATAAAACAAAACAAAAATAAAAACATAAGAGGTGTTGAAGACAGAAAATAAAGCTCTTCTTTCATCAATATTAAGACTTTTTGGAAGGTCAGTTGGATTCACTTCACTTTGAGATGTAGATAATTTGAGCTAAACAATCATTTTAGCTAACGTCTGTATACAGTTAGTGTCGACACTAAAAACAATCACTTTTGTTTCAAAGCTTGTTTAAAAAGGGTTGGGTGACGTTGTTTTCAGACGTCCCTATGGATCAAATTATTGAGTTTTGTTGCAAATGAGAGACAACATTTGAGCGGATGAAGGCTTTGTTTTCTAAGTTTGGATTCCAAGTTTCTCATTTGGACAAAAGTTGTCTTTTTCCTTCTTTCTTTACTGTTCCGTTGACATGTTTTTGATATGAATGTAAAGGCTCGTGTGCGTTTAAACAAGCAAAGCTCATCTAAATTATTCTCACTCAAAAGTTTGCATTTCGTTATAACACTTGAAAGATATATAACACTGATGATTCAGCACAAAATGTCTTCCAGAAATAACAAGTGGTGATGGGACACAAGTGATAGAGCACAGGTGATAGGACACAGGTGATAGGACACAAGTGATAGAACACAAGTGATAGTGCACAGGAGATGGGACGCAAGTGATGGGACACAAGTGATAGAGCACAAGTGATGGGACACAAGTGATAGAGCACAAGTGATGGGACACAGGTGATAGGACACAAGTGATAGAACACAGGTGATAGGACACAAGTGATAGAACACAAGTGATAGTGCACAGGTGATAGGACACAAGTGATAGGTCACAGGTGATGGGACACAGGTGATGGGACACAAGTGAGAGCACAGGTGATAGGACACAAGTGATAGAACACAAGTGATAGTGCACAGGTGATGGGACACAAGTGATGGGACACAAGTGATAGAGCACAAGTGATAGGACACAAGTGATAGAGCACAA